TATATTGTGTTATTGGGTCGTGTGTGTTTTTCGTTAAAATTTGTGTTTTTTTCGGTCGTTTCTGTGTGTATTTCGTTATTTAGTGTGTGACAAAAAAAGGTCCTCAATTGTCGGGGGTCACGTAGTTCTCCACACTGTCGATGTTGCTGATGAAAAGTGAGTGCAGGAAGTCGATAGTATGGCATTCAGGTTGCGCGACAGGAGTGTCAGCCGTGACACTTTGACACTGAACTCGCATCTTCAAATCGCCGAGGTTACGGTTGAACAGCCATGCATTCCCACCTGAGTATGCATACCGTTCGTGGAAGTCAGACATATTGAACGCTTTGGCCATGTCCTTGAGACTTTCTTGTGACCAGCCGGGAAGTGCAACGAGTTCTCGATCATCTCGGACAGACACCCCATATGAACTTTAGCGAAGACGAGAGCAAGTGACCTCCGCCCAAGATCCTCAGGGGGCCATCATTGAAGGTTGCCTGGAGGTAGCCGTCACCAACGACCAGGATATTGTTTCCTCTACGCTCGGCAAGGAACGATTTCCTTAACGAGGCAACCTCGTCCGGGTAACAGTCTGGATATCCCGTGACTTTGGCGCCACGAAACCACAGCACAACGTCGGGGGAAGGGCCCCCGTTGCCCATAAGATCCCGTGCGAGGAAGATGTGGAATTTGCAATGGACAGCCAAATAGCAGCAAAAAAGCACGAGGAGCGCTGATTTGCCGACGCCGGGGGACCCCACGAGAACGGTCGTCTTCTTGGAAGGGGTTTGTCCAATGTAGTTGTCGTGCAGGATGCTCCATGCCATCTTCATTTCTTGGCGGACAAACAACGACGGCGGAAAGCCCCCGTAGCGTCGGAGGGCTTGCGAAAGCTCAGAGGTAGACTGGACCGTGCCTTGTGTCACACTGTTGAGGTCGACCACTGCGCTTGGGGGCATGATAAACACTTCCGTTTCAATCCAAAGCGTTGACTTGGCTTTGTTGGATGGACGTACTTCACGCCATTTGTCAGGCGGTACAACCGCCAAGATGTGGATGTCTCCATCATCGATGACGTCGGGGAAGCCGAATGAGCTGTCGTCAATTCTGTACAAGGAACCCATTCGTCGATTTTGCAGAAGCTCTTGAACGACATCGGTCTTTTCGTCCGTTCTCAAGGCTTGGACATCGTAACTTCTCCATTGCAACCACGTACCGTCGCTTTTCTTGGCCAGAAAGAGATCCAAGCGGTCCTGATGAAACTTGTACTTCTGGTGTTCACGAACCAACTGCTTTAGTGTTTGCACATGATTGCCCTTGTCGATCTCAATTGGCAAAATGCTGCCGTCGTTCACAACCAAGCACCACAGTGTCGTCATCGTTCAATGTCGCCCCAAATTCAGAAGTGACCGTTCTTTTGGTTTCCATACTTGTTTCAGAAAATCGTCTTGTCGCTAAGAAATGATCACTGTTTACACCTCGTCCCAAATTCGGAAGCAAACTTCGAAGTACTATTGTTTCCGTGCCGCTTGCTACAGTATACCAAATGACTGTATGTTTGAGGTCACTTCAAAGATGCAAAGATTGGTTGTTTTGGTAGCCGATTAGTCGATACTATAGTACCCCAGTACGACCTCCTAGCATCCCCAATTTTCCAACCCGTTCTCGTTGAATCTCGTTACTTTTGTCTGTGTAAGGTTACTACAATCACATAATCGAAAATGATATTCATTCCTTCAAATACGATCAACACCTCGACGGAAACCACAGCCTCGTCGAAGCCACATATTCGGCCCCCATTGGGCTAAACTGCCCAAACATTCCCTCGATTATGTGATAATCACCCAACCATTCCCTCGAATATGTGATCCTCGTTAAGGAAATCATTCCTTGCCGAGCGCAGAGGAAACAATATCCTGGTCGTTGGTGACGGCTACCTCCAGGCAACCTTCAATGATGACCCCCTGAGGATCTTGGGCGGAGGCCACTTGCTCTCGTCTTCGCTAAAGTTCATATGGGGTGTCCGAGATGATCGAGAACTTGTTGCACTGCCCGGCTGGTCACAAGAAAGTCTCAAGGACATGGCCACAGCGTTGAATACTAGTATGTCTGATTTCCACGAGCGGTATGCATACTTGGGTGGGAAGGCACGGTTGTTCAACCATGAACTCGGCGATTTCAAGATAGCGAGTTCAGTGTCAAAGTGTCACGGCTGACACTCCTGTCGCGCAAGCTGAATGCC